CAACTTTATAATTTATATAGACTGTTTTTCATTTTACATATTTGCATTCACACTTATTTGCATCGTTTCCAAACTCAGCCTAATGTTCGAGAGTTAGATTTAATAATAGAGATTAAGTGTGTAAGACAAATTTAATAATTTTCTAGAGAGAGAGGCGTAATGATAGGAACTGCATAGAGAAATTGATGATAGAGGGTAATCATATGATATGCATGGATACTTTAAACCTTGGGTAAGATGGATTTTGCCTCATTACAAAACATGACTACCTTAGTTCCTTGGGGCAATTAGTTAGAATCTAACACCATTAATATTTCATGAAAAAGAGAAGAATGAACTTTTATTGACAAAGAGAAAAGAGATGGTTATCCGTTTAATAAAACCACGTTTGGAACATATATCTGAAAACAACAACAACAAAAAGCAATTTATCTCTATCGATTTGATCGTCAATAAATTAATTCAGAACGTAGAGACAGGGGTGTCTATTAGTATGTAGGTTTAGTGGTAAACTTGCACTAATCGAACCTTATTCGGGATGAGGTGAACTAGTGCTAAACCCGACAGTTGACATTTGCAACACGGATATAGTTTTTTTTCCCGGTATAATTGATATAATTGTATGCATGGATGGGAGCATCGATAGATTGGGTTTGGGTTGGACTCTATTCAAATCAAAATTATTTTGAACGGAATATTGGACAGTTAATAAGTCCAATAAGACATATTTAACTAGATCAGTCCACACTTAATGGTCCAATTGAATTTATATTGAACTGGGTCTGATTGAACCAATATCCGATTTATTGATAGAAATAAAGAGTAGAGATGTCAATTAGGTTTTGATTGAATCCAATCTGAATTAAAATCAATTTGAACAGGTTAGATGGTCCAATAATACATATTGAATTGGACTAATTAAAATATTTATTGGATTGGGTTGGATTAATATCTAATCCATTAACAATCCCATTCATAGACTTGGTTTAGTACAAGTATACTATATGTGGGATGGGTTTGATTTTCCCTTATTTATTGGTTGGGTTGAATATAGTTTTGTTCAACACAAATCATGTAGAATACCACTCCTAGGTTTTAAAAACCGATCCGGAAACAGAATCGTTCTAACTACCGGTTTCTGGGTCAGCAGTTGACCATCCGGATTGAATGGTTCAGACAATTTGCATTATTAGGGAAAATATTTTATATGAGAAAGGATATGGTTATTGGTTGAGAAAGAAGGAATAAAAGAAGGAAAGAAAGGAAGGAGAGAAAGGAAAAAACAGAAAATGAGAGAAAGGAAGGAGGGAAGGAGGGAAGAAGAAGGAAGAGGAAGAGGCGGATTCAATGCTCAATGGCGATGATAATGGCAATGGTGACGGCAAGGCGTCAGCAACAGAGGTATATCTCAAATCTGAGATTCGAGAACTGAGATCTTAGATCTGAGATTGATTTCTCTCCAACTTCTACAATCTTCTTCTTCTTCTTCTTCTTCTCTCTGTTGGATCATATATCTGAGTTCATGTCTCAGTTTCTCCCCTCTCTATCCTCTACAACTTTCTTAAACTACGAACCACTTTCTGGGTCAAACAAGTTGATGGTTCGACCACTTGGGTCAACGGTTCTTTGACCAAGTTAATGGTTTTTGACCTAGGAATGGGTTAAAGGTGAAACAGAACTGGTTGTCTGGACGGTTTTCGGGCCAAACGGTCCAACTGTCTAGATCAATGACGGTTCGAAAACATTACACATTTGCACCACCTTGTAGGATATAGTTCGTTCATACAATCAATAATAACATAATAGACAACAATCCTACTGTGTAATATGAGCATCTCCTATGAATAATGACATAATACACAAGATGTTACCGGCTGGTACATGCTGTGAGGTCGGTGTGGGGGATGATCGTTTTAAAATATTTAATATGGTTTCCTTAGATATCAACGCACCAGTGGTCTAGTGGTAGAATAGTACCCTGCCACGGTACAGACCCGGGTTCGATTCCCGGCTGGTGCATTGTCTATTTTGGTTTTTTGCAGAGCCTTGGGATGAAAAATTGAAAACAGATCTGCTGACCAAGTAACCAGTGACCACCACTACACAGTATACACGTTGACCTTTACTTGAAAATACATAAAATGCCCAACTTGGGGCGTTGCGAGAATCGAACTCGCGACCTCTCGCACCCGAAGCGAGAATCATACCACTAGACCAAACGCCCTTACATGGCACCAAGATGTAATCCATGATTATTTCATGCTTGGATTCAATCCCATTAAGGTTGATCCGAACCCCACCTGTTTCTATTTGTCAATGTTTATAGAGGAAAACCACTTCTTTTTTTTTTAAAAATAAATTTTATAGAGGAAAACCACCTCTATCCTATAAAATCCAATTTGATTTGATTTAAATATAATGCTTAAAATTGATATTGTTTGAAAATGTTCTAGCGAAACCATGGGTGTAGGGCAAAAGAGTACTTGCATTAATATTCATTTGACCAGAAAAGACAAGCAGGGATGTTCTGTGTGGCATATGCCCAAAAACAGTCCCAACGGCCCAAGCTGATGGTCCTGAGTTCAGATTGGCTCCTCAGAATGTGCCCCACAACACCTCTGAGCATGCATTTAGAACATCTCCCATACTTGTTACGAGGAAATATTGTCAATGCACAGTTGCGATGTTCTGTGTGGCGTGTTCTGTCGGGGAGCCAATGGATATTTGTTAGCTCCTAATAGCCAAAGTTTTCTTCAATTATCCTGTTTTGGTAAGACTTCTATTTGAGTTCACATCTGTGCCCCACAAAGTGGGCACCCCATAATGCCCCACAGCACATCTCCACCTTATATTGGGAACATTTCCCAATGATGTCTCATCATCTTCTGTACTTGTTATCGGGAGATGTTCCCAGTAGAAGGTGGGAATGTGCTGTGGGGCGCCCTCTAGTGGGGCATAGATGTGAACTCTTCAAATTCTTTCTGGTTCCACTTTTGTTGCCCTTAAAATCAGAGAACCTTGCATGATGCTTCACCTCTGATCCTAAGATGAACTGAGATGCAAATTGGTATCTTTGCAAAAGAAAGAATGATGAAGGTTCTTCCACAATCCCTATTGTTAATATATTAACGCATAAAGAAGAAAAGATGGCAGTTGATAGTTGATTGAAAGTAATTGGGTTTATATCAGATAAGGGCAATTTTGGGGCCCTAATATCAATAAAAGTAATATTTTAATAAAATATCAAAAATAGATTAACTTTTTAAAAATAATATCAAATAAGGGCAAAGCAATTGTTCATCTTCTTCTCCTTGCAGAAGAGCCGCCGCCTTAGGCAACGCCTCTGCCTCTGCCCAACACCGCCACCTCCGCCTATTAGGCTATTACTGTAAGCGGTTGTAATTGGATCGCCATTAAAAGGCAAGTATTTCTTCATATGATGTGCATGAGCAAGACAAGACCGGCCGGGATGGAACAACAAGTTACAAGTTGAAGTGGTAGCGGCAATCAATAAATACCGTAAAGAGATTGTGTTCCTTCTATATCGTCTGGGTTCCCACATCAATGTAGGGAAACATGACAGCATCATGCTCAGAGCTGTGCCCAAGCCCAAGCAAGTGGCTGATTTCGTGCACCGCCACGAATGCCGCATCAATCCAATCAGTGCGGATACCATTTGTCCATCACTCCTCCGAATCGAAATGCACTCTTCCATCAGTGGGTGCAAAGGCATGAGCAACTTCTCTGAGTTCGAGCAAAGGCATGATCAAAGAAGTTTTCACAACTCTCAGGCATGAGCAACTTCTCAGGCTCTTATCGACAACTCAAAGAAGTAGTGAATGTCTCAGGCTCTCTCTCCTCCACCTCTTCCATCAATGGGTGCAAAGGCATGCTCTTATCATCCTCCTCATCCTCCCTCTCCTCGTCTTCCCTCTCCTCTCTTTGTTTTTTGTTCTTGCATCAGTTAGAAGGATGCCACAATGGAGATAGAGTAAAAGGTCTCAACCAAGTTAAATGCTATCTCCAGAGATTTGGCTACCTCGACTACCATAATGACGACAATGATTTCGACCATCACTTGGAGTCGGCCATCAAGACAACTCCTCCGAATTGAAGAGAAGTTTTCTATTTGGGCGGAGGTGGCAAAACTAGGCAGAGGTGGGCGAAGGTAGGCAAAGGCATTGCCGGAGGTTGCCGGCGGCGCTTCTACAAGAAGAAGAAGATGAACAGTAATTTTGCCCTTATTTGATATTATTTTTAAAAAGATTACCTATTTTTAAGGCCCAAAAATTGCCCTATCTGCTATAATCCAAAAGTAGTAATTTAGCTGCAGCAAAGCATAACTTGTACGAACCACAACCAGTCCAGGGAAATCAGTAGCATAAGATCTTTATCCTTATTTATGCCGAAGATAAGGATACTGTGGGTTTTCCTCTTTTCAGACATTTTCAATGGTTATAATTCTTCTTCTAGGCAGGTTGTATGGAGAAATGAGAAGTGAAAGTGTTCAAGGAAACACGTGTTTGCTAAGCAGAATCTCAATTCTCCGGAGGTTATTTCAGTTTTGGAGTCGAAGCAAGTTTGCAACCAGTACGACTCCCGGAGTCATTCATTATAACTTGAGTTATGGTTATCAATCTATTGAGACTCGGACCAGGCCAGACGGTCAGACCATCAGAACTGGGTTCTCACAGTCACAGCCAATACGGTTTTTGGGTTACCAGGATATATATATATATATTGAATTGAAATAGTCAAACTGGAGGTTGGACCATTTGACCCGTGAACCGTGATCCAGTCCACATCAGTCCGACTCTGACAATGTTTCCGTATATTTCAAAGGAATACACGGCTCTACGGTATGCTGCTTAATCATTTTTCTTGCTTTCTTGCTTCTTCGGTCAAGGTTCTGGTTATGGAATGCAATTTGAAAAAAAACGGTCGCAATTGTCATTTGCAAAATTGCTTTAGTGGTGATGGAGGTTGCTTGGGACTGTGGCTTAGAGATCAAACAAATGTTTATTTCCATTAACTAATAAAGAACAATGTACTCTCAATTACAACACTGAATGGTCACCAAAACAATGAGCACGCACCGCCAATTTATGGGCATATGACAAATTAATAATAATTATTTTACATTGGCGAAATGAACTTGTATGAATCATGAATTCGTGACTAATAAATACCTCCTCCAGAATATCTTGGTCATCTAAGACATGTAGCTTCTGCATGGCGAATTCAATTAGGCTTGGTTGCTCAATCTTTAAAAGCATGATCATGTATCTCTATGCAACATTCAGTTTCCCCACTTCATGTGTCCTGGTTTCTGTTCTGTTGTTCCCTACGCAGCTTTCAGTTTCTCCAGTTCATGTGTGTTTAGCTCTTCAGAGTAGAGTATTCCATGCGGAGAAGTAAGCCGTCGTAAAGCAATAGAAAAGCGAGCCTAAAGAAGCATGTTGAGTCAGTGATGTTTGAAATAAGAACAGTCTTAACCTCTTAAATCAAGGGATAAAATTTTTACCCATTGAAATCCTGCTAGAGCCCACCAGCAACCTGGCAAACCACACCCTCTGCTGCTAACAAGCTGTTAAATTAAAATCATCAGCACATGGTAGAGACCAAGGTTCGAAGTATCAGTATTGTGAAGAGCATTAGAAAAGCAACCTGTAGATACACTTAAAAAATGAATACAGGGAATGATTAGGATTTGTGTGGGCATTACTAGAAAAAGTCATTTCGGCAAATGCATTGATACCAATAAATCTAGGCATAAATGACTATACATAAGGTCTAAAGACATAATAAGCACATCTTTTAATAGTTCATATGAACTACTAGGATACACTTGGGAGTTGGGAAACACTGAGGAAATGGTGGAAGAATTAATGCATCCAGGTCATTCGTTAAGAACATCAAAATAATATCGATATTTGGTGGACTATTTTATTTTCAGATGGCTTTCAACCGAAATAATCTTAGTAGGGGTGCAACTAGGGTTGGTCTGAGTTAACATTTTACACTAGGCTTGGGCCCTCAGGTCAGGCCCACCCAAATTTTGACAAAAGCCCAATCTGAACCCGTCTAAGTTGCATCCCTAAATCTCAGTATGTTGTAGCATAGTGGTGACTGGTGAGTTGGGTTCCATTTCTAGCAATAGAACAAAAAATATTAACAAATTGATAATTAACAGTATTAACCTAAACAAGAAAATTTATGGAACAAAATATTCGACCATAGGAGACTAGTTGATAGTTAATACACGATATTAAAAAATTGTTTAACATTATTTTTAATTAACAAATAATTGATATTAACATCATTATCTAATAATCAAAATGAACATTACTTAGACTTGTGAAGCTTAATAATTTAAGGAACAACCCTTAGATACTAGATAAGGCAATTCAAATTTTCATTCATGTCCCAGAAAAAGAAAAAGAAAAACTGAAGCTATGGAAACGTGTAAGATGAAAGCATACCATTAGTAGAAGTCCACCCAAAGAAAAGCATCCAGTCATTGATAGACTTAGAAACCGAAGATCCCTGCCAGCCTGCATAAATTAAAAATAACTAATGCAGCTAGAATGTGTTTGCTGTTTCTGATTTTTCTTATTCACATGCAACATAAATGTTCTACACTAGCTTTTTGCCCATCTTGAGCCAGTGACATGTGGTATAAATACAGGTGAGTACCGATATTGCAATAACATGGGGATTGTCATTCTCACTCACAAGTGGTATCTCCAACTTTTCACGAGGGGGTATATATTTAAAGCTTAAAAATGTAGAACTTTTATACTTGGTCAAGAAAATATTAAACCAGTTAATCCATAAGAAGTATGTCAGGCATTTTCTATTTTTTCATTTAAGGAAAACTTTTGTTACACTGGCACTCCCATTGTGAATTAAGCATGATCATACTTTTTTTCAAGGGAAACTTTACTTTTATTTATTTTTGGATCAGCTTCTTTTTGGATTTTGATAGCCTATCTATGAACAACAGATGCACATGATCATACTTTTTGTACATTCCTGTTGTAAAGTATTTTGGTGTACGGATGCTGATCTAACTACATTATCTCATATTAATATAATACTTGAATGTTTCCAAAAGAAAAACTTGTACTATACAGTCTATACCCAAAACTTGCACTAAAGGAAAACAAGTGTTTCAATTTACAACCGTCTCCCATAAGTCAAGTAGTTATTCTTTTCAAGTACTTGTTAGTTTTCAAATAAGTAGTAGTTATGAATCAAAACCTAGTTCATATTTCCTAATTTCCAATATTGTTCTGTCCATGGATAATTATCAGGTTAAAATATAAATAACTAATATAAATAATATCATTATGTGTTCTAAATGTAGAGTTCAGTTTTTTTTTTTTTTTTTTGAGGAAAAAGGTAACGTATTGTACTACTCAATTAACAAGCCAAATCTGCACAAACAAGGAGATGTGCAGTGCCCAAAGATATATGTACATCTTCTAATCTGTATATTCTGTGATACAAAAAGAGCTCCAGAATAAAAAAAAGGAGCTATAAGGCCTATTCCTGAACAATCTGTGTTCCTACCCATGAATACAACCTATCCCAACATCCTTTCAGTAAAATCTCTTCTGTAAGGAACTTGTATTCAAACAGTCTTTTGTTCCTTTTCGTCCAAATTGTCCAAACCACTTAAGCTGGTCCTACTCCCCAAATAAAGGACCTTTCAGCTGCCAAGTGCCAACTCCTTAGAATTGCCAATAAATTTTCTGGAACAACAATGAACTTCAGAACAGCCCCAAAAATCTTGCCCAAAGGTTTCTTGCAACTCTGCAGTGAATTAGCAAATGCTCTGAATCCTCAGAAGCTCCCCCACACGTTACACACCTGCTAGGTAAAACATTCAGACATTTCCTAGCCAAAACATCCACTGTCAAACACTTACCCAGGACTGCCACCCATAATAAAAAAGCAGCTTTTGGAGGGGTTGCAGTATTCTGTATTCCACACTTTGGCTGCAGGGTAGTCCATCATCACCACCTCTGTGTGAGTTTTATTTCTACTTCCCTATATCCTTCTTACTTCTTTCTTTGGTTTAATCACTTCATAGTTGTTGCATTTTAGTAAAAAAAAAAATAGAGAACAGATAGAGTCAGTGCAGTGACATTATCTTTGCAACATGTATTTATTTCTTGACTTCTTGAGTAGAAGAATCTATATGTAATGGATAAGCTAAACTGTTTAAACTGGACTTCTTTGACACAGAGAGCTGAGATTAGGAGTGAGCATTGCAGTTATGTAAGAAAAAAAAAAAAGCTTGATGTACCACCAACATAAATTTTTGATAGATACAATTTTAGAATAATTAATGCAAAGAAGAAAGAATGGCACAAGTTGTGGAGTTCCATTTCTAAAACATAAAATTGGACTACAAGTGAGATCACTCCTTTGATACAGACGGAGCTGAGATTGGGACTAAGCATTGCAGTTGTCCAATGTAAGAAAAAAAAGGTTTGGTGTACCACCGACTTAAATTTTTGATTGATACAATTTTAGAATAATTAGTGCAAAGAAGTACACAAGTTGTGAAATTCCATTTCTAAAACATAAAATTGGACTACAAGTGAGATTAGTCCAGGATAAAGTTAACAAACTGAATGCTCTATTCCTCAAAATGCAATGCACTAGATAGAATTACCTAAAGATTCATCACCCATGGCCAGCCTAAGAGATGGTCACAAAAGAAGGGGACTGCAGAGTGATCCTTAGATGGACTAAAAAAAGAAAGAGGGCCCTTGGGTAGGGGTGTCCACGAAAAACCGAAAAACCGAACCGCGAAATGCGGTTAACCGAACCGATCGGTATATATATTTATATGTATATTTTATATATATTTTTAATATATGTCACAAATTTTCTATATATTATATATAAATATATACATGTATTATATTTATAATAATCTATTTACAAATATATTATATTTTTAAAATATATTATATATCATTTATTATTTATAATATAATATTATACATATATTTAGATAATATATATTATAAATATAAAAAACCAAAACTGGCGGACCGGTTAACCGGTGGTACCAGTTCGGTTTCGGTTTGGAAAAATGAAAAAGCTGGTGGTAGTGGTACCAGTTCGGTTTGTAAAAATTGCCCATGGTTCGGTTAACCGAACCGTGGACACCCCTACCCTTGGGCACTCAGATAGGTGATGCTATGAATTGGCATCCATTTTGAACTGCTCATTCAGATGGACACCTTGATCAGCTGATACAATAGAAGATGCCCTTGGAAGAGATGGAGTAAGAAAGAACCAGCTTCCCTGAAGGATACAAAACATGGGCATTGATGAAAATCTAAATTGGCTTGTACCAGAAATCTGTCAGCTTTGCAGCAGTTTGTATTGCCTTCTCTCTATTCTGTTTGGATACAGAGAAGTTTATCTTTACTTCATAATTAATACAATTCATGGTTAATGACCCAAAAAAAAAAAAGTAAAACATATGGTCACGAGAGGAACTAGTAAAATGAAACAGCAAATTAAGAACCCATTGAAATGCATCTGTAAAGAAGTTTACAGAAATATACCAGTAGTGTTCCTTCAAGGCTATGTGTTGAAGGTGTCACCACTAATGCAGTAAAGTATGCAAATAACACCTTGTGCATCTGGAAAAGAATGCAGGGTAAGAGAATAATAACATCCATGAAAATAAAACATCTTTATGCCACATTTGGTACCCAAGTTTCATTATATCCATCATCTATTAATGACAACATCCATGAAAATAAGAACTAAATAGAGCTCAAGATGTGTAGATCAAATAGCATGTATAGAATCATTTCTATCCCACAATTGATACCCAAATTTAAGTACATCCTTCATCTAAAAAATCAGGACTTGTATTGGAATTCCAATAAAATTTTACATTAGGAAGGAGAATTTTGAAAATGACATACTCCCTACCTATATGAAGCAGACATAAGGAACATGTAAAATTATATGAACCCAAAAGCAGACAAGGATAACAAATGGTGTTGTCTGACCCACAGTTTGCAACATATTTTATATAAACTACAAGCAAAATAGCCTAGTCTTTCCACTTCATTTTGCTTAAGGGCTTTGCAGTTCATAAAGACTAGAGGAATTGGATAGTTATGGACAAAATAATTATTAAACAGTTATTGATATGACCGAATATGACAATAAGTAATCCATCAGGTTTGGATTTTAGAGATGTTCATCTTAAGACATTTTTAACATGATTTGCTTCAGGAAGAAAACCACCAAGTTAAACCTGGACAGAGCTACTATCTCTTATCCAGGGGCTGGCTGTCACTCTGGCAGTTTAGAAAACCTATCAAAAGAATGTCATTCAAGGGGGAGTCTCAGATTGTATAGGATGGATAAAAGACATATCTAGATCTTATGGGATGTTAGGCTACCAGGTTTTAGAGGCAAGGTTCTAGATATCCAAAGTGAAACACCATTTCATTGAATTCTAAGATTGGCATTAACTTAGTAATCTAAAGAGTTTCAAGAAATGAACAATATTGTGGTATACCATTACAGAGCTGATGCTCAAATGCTAATTTTGTATATTTCTTTTGTAATCACATGTTATCTTGCTTTAATACAATTTGCTCACAGCTACCAATAAAAAGAATAATGCTTAATGAGGTAGCTATTGGATTAACAACTAGGGCAGTTTAGTATAACGTATTAATAATAGATCATTGCAGGAAACCCTAACTCAACAGTCCATTTCAGAAGTGAAAATTTAAAACCAAGTAAAACTTGCCACAAAATGCAAATTTGCTTCTAGAGACCAGGAACATTTTGTAACAAGAAAAGAAAAGAAAAACCTAGTTATTAATGGAATCATCAAATCACTCATAATAACACAAATAGCGATACTGGCAAATAGTTGAGACCCAGGGTTAAGGTAATTAGAAGCAAAACTAACCTCTCTAATGATCTCATGGTCATTTGTGAAAAGATAGGGCATCAACCAGGGAACAGATGTTCCAATTATCCCCAATATCAATCCAGTTAATGCTCCAATGATCACAAGTGACTTCAGCAGCATTCTTGCCTGTATGGCATTTATTGTGCATCTTTCAGCATAATTTTGACAAAGGTAAATAATAGATATAAAAATATGCAACACCCAGTTTCTTGAGGAAAAAGCAAGTACACGAGTCATTTTCAGAAACTAGTAATGGATAACTAGAACACCTAAACTGCAGCCAGCAATGTACATAACATTCAGATTTGCATTGCCACAATAACAAATACTGAAACATTAGAACAAAACACATAATACATAGGTAATGTGATATTAGCAAGGAAAGAAAATTATTAACCTTCGCTAGATTCCGATTAACTCCATACATCAACTCAGGCATAAAAGACTGTGCAGTTTGAGAGAGGGGTTCACCCCATACAGTACACATGCAGAACACCTGAATCATAACCTACAACAACATTGATTACAATATATGTTTTATGAGTTCATTACATCCCAGAATGAGTGACATAAGAGATCAAAAGATAAATAAATATGACAAATTGGAGAAGTGAGTAAAACCAACCTGATGTGCTGCAATGGTGATAGTTCCCATGGATGTAGCAAAATATGTAAGAAGGGAATAGAAGGCAACCTGTATATCAATAGGTTAAACCATACTACAAAAACTAAGTATGAGCTATAGACAGGGAGAGACCCATGTAAAATCTTACAAACCTTTGATATCATGGTTACAAAAACTGGAGCAGCAAGTTCAACTATTTGCAGCAGCTCTTTGATTGATGGAACAGATACTGAGAAGGCATTGTAGCCTTTCTTGTTCAGAGTATCAATCATCATATAACCTGCAACAACCTGGAATCATTGCTGGTAAGTCACAAACCTAATAAAAAACAGAAACAAACAAATGCAAATTAAGTAAGAACATCCTATAAAGCATTGTGAATCAGATATGATCATCTGTTAGCATACTTGTGAGACCATCGTTGCCCATGCTGCACCAGCAATACCATAGCCCAAGAAACAGCACAAGACAACATCACCAATGCCATTTATGACACTAGCAACTGCTAAAGCTTTCAAAGGCCCCAGAGAATCTTTCATGCCAAGGCTGGTTACCAAAAGAGAAATATCAGAATAGGTACTGGATAAGAAATAGAAATTTCATTTATTTTCACAAAAAAAGAAATCACTGAAAGACAGATTTTACCTGAGGCATAAACAGATCAAGCTAAATACAAATGCTGATATAAGAATATAGAAGTTGTTTTAGCAAAACAAGGAGCAGATAGCCTCTTATATTTTGGGCAAAGTTGTAATATTATGTAATTTGAGTTTGAAGATGCTTTAATAACTGTACTTATGAATTATTAGTGAAATCTTCTTCCTGATCTCTCTCTCTCTCTCTGTATATATATATATATATATATATAATATTAACTTGGTTAAAGGAGGTGATTTTATTCAGGCTCTAGACACCCTCATTACTATGAACAAAATGACTAATTCTTTGCCAAATTGTGGTTATGTTACCAGATCCAATAATCTCATTACTATGAAAAACCAACTCTCCCATGAATATAAGACTTGCAGGAGAGAGACCTAGCCTAGGTCTGTATTTGGTTAAAATTTTGCTCAGAAGAATCAGTATTTGAAGAATAAGTTTTGACCAAAATATGATTCTTTTTTTAGCTCCAGAGAATCACATCTTAGAATGATTTTTGAGCCAAAAGGACAATTAGTTCCAATGATTTTTGATGAGGGCAGATTTGGCCCTCCAGTGAAATTGCGACACGTGGCACCTCGTGACTAGGCAAGCACCTAGGCAACAACTTACCAAGTTGGTCTCCCCCCCGGGCACCGATCTGGCTGGCCTGGCGCGACCTGCACGCGGCCTGGCGCGCGATCTGGCGCGACCTGCGTGCG